AGGTGTTCTCAATCTCAGCCACACCTACTGGCAGCTGAAACTCAAAGAGAGCGCAGCCAGCAAAACAAGCAAGCAGCAGAGTTGTCACAGTAAATTACGGCTGAAGAGCGTTTTCACACATGCACAAAACTCCTGAAAAGTTCCTGAAATTTTCTGGGTGAGCTGCATGTGTGAACAAATGGTTGAACTTTTCAAACCCCACACTTTCCTGCCAGGCCCCAAGTAAAAACATCCACATGAAAGTCGGGGTATGCGGATGCGTTAACCCAGCTGGAATTATTCGGGAAAATAAACTGTCATAAGTGTCAAACTTTACTTAGCCCACTATCTTTAAAGAGGACGTATTATCCCCTTCTCCACTTTTAAAACAGTCCCCCTGTGGTCTAAGTGAAACATCTGTGCTGTGCTTTGGTCAAAATTAACATGAATCAAGCACCAGAGGAGGTTTGTGACCCTGTATAAACCAGCTCTCTCAGAACGCTCCGTTTTGGAGTGTGTGTCTCTTTAAATGCAATGCCCCCCCCGAGTTTACCCCGTAGACATCACTCCTCTGTAGTGAGAATAAAAAAGGGCCGACCTGCGCAAATATTTTGTTCTAGTCCGGGGGTGGAGTCCATGGGTGGAGATACCAGGTGAGGGGAGGGGATTTATTTTTATTTTTTTACCAGAATCCCACTGTGACTTATGCAGACCACAAACAAAGGACTGGTTGGGTTTATTTCACATTTTGTGGGTCTGTAGACACTCAGGTTACCCAAACATATGTTCAAAAAAAAAAAGTCATAATATGTCCCCTTTAACATCTTGTAAACTATATGACAGCAGTGTCCTTATGCCATGACTCACCTCCTGAGACACCCCACCTCCTTTCTGACCGGGAACTCTTCACACTGTGAGGAACTTGTAAATAACAACTTTGCAAATTTCAGGGGCAGAATGTCCTGAAAATTTCTAGGAAATTTCTTGAAACTGTCCGGAGTGCACGTGGGAAAACATCTCATATTTGTGCAGTTGTTTTCTCTATCAGGTGCGGATGGCCGACCTGCAGACCAAACCAAATAAATGGATTTTCAAGAAGCAGAGTCTGTGCTTGAAAGCATCGGAGATTTTCAGTCCATCCTAACGATGTTAAGGATTTCCACCAGAAGCCTGCACGTAACAGCATTATGAAGCAATCTGGAATGATTGGGCAGGAAACAAGAGGATTTAGCAGCTTTTATAGAGAGACAGAAACCATTAGTTCAGTTTAAAAAAGGAAGAAGATGGCTGTCAAACTTTCTGTGGTTCCAGCATCCTGATTCACATTTGCATTAACAAAAACATTATTTATGCAAAAACTGACATTCAATTGTCTCACAAAGCCGGAGTTAGAGTTAAATCCTGAAACTTTAGAGAGAGTTGGTTTGTCCGCTCTCTTGCTGATAGGAAAGACTGACATGCTGCTGATGAAACAGCTGCCAGAGTCCTGCAGAGAGAGAGAGAGAGAGAGAGAGAGAGAGAGAGAGAGAGAGAGGCAGAGCTGAGACATGATGACTCATGCTCTCTCCGTTCACTGAAACCGGGTGAGTTGAGGAGGTCGTGGTTAAGGATTTCTAGTAAGCCTTCATTCCTTCCTTCACTCACAGAGTTTCAGATTTCTCCTCGCTCAATTCTCTCTTAAATGCCTCCCTCTCTCTCTCCCTTTCTCTCCTCGTCTTTGAGCTTTATTAAAGAAAACAACAGATAATGCCACACGTCTCTACCCAGTCACTCCTTCTCCCTCTGTGTGAGCTACAGCACTCTTTGTATGTCTTCTCCCTTTTCATTGATTTCCATTGTGGTTCCTGCAGCTGCAGCTTTCAGCTCACAGCCATTGTGGGACTTGTACCAAAGAGGAGTGGACACACAGTGCTCATCCATAAGTCAAGAAAATCCCCAATGTAACTTTTAGGGAAACTTTTATTTCGGCCTAGTTTTATTCAGTCGTAGTCCCAGCTACACACCAACACAAAAGAAGAAGAAGATGGAAACCATTTGTGGTGTGTGAATGTAAGGAGGAGGAATATTACTCATGCAAATCCACATCTCAGATTTCATTTAAGCACAGAGCACTCTCTGGAAGAGAAGCGTAAAGAGGTTTATCAGAGGGTCAGAGCTGTGTTTGAACTTTCCAGGCTTCCAGCGCCAATAAAAAAAAAAAAAACCTCTACATGACTTTGGAGAGATTGTTTTTTGCTCCTCTGACTTTTATGCCACGTGCATCAAGTGACAATGCTACAGCAGAAACACAGACGCCAGCCTGAGAAATCCAATGCTTCTTATTTACAAGTGAAACAACCGAACTGTTGTTTTTATCATGCTAATGGTGTCTCTAAAGTTTGACGAGGTATGAAGTTTAACAAAGTATTAAAGTGGTTTACATGGAGAAAAAAACACTGAAATATAGTAAAAAGCCAAGGCAAGAAAAAGACTACAATTTAAGTTAAGAACAGAATGAAACAAGTTATGCTCAAGGTGCATAACTTAGGACGCGTTGGAAAAACGAGTTTCCGAGTTGTAAAAACGAGTTTCCGAGTTGTAAAATGCACATGAACACCTGCTCAAGTTGGAACAACAACTTGGAAACTCGTAAAAGAATGAGGTGCCCGACTTCCCGACTTCCCGACTTGACGTCAGACTCGTCATCACATAATAGGCATAATATTTTTTATGAATTCATGTTTTGCACATCAAGTTTTAGCTCAAATATCACTTTTAACAGAGACATTTCACACATCTTCTTCGTAGCATCAACGCTGTTTTGTGCTTTTGTTACAACATTCAGACTTTCCGAACTAAAATCCCACTGAAGTCGAAAGAATGACTTCCCAACTCGGAAACTTGGACCACCCGAGCAGCACCTGAACGCAGCATCAATCAATCCAGAGAAAATACAAAAAGGGATATTTTGGAATTGCCCGTAGGTGTGAGTTTGAGTGTGTCTGGTTGCCCGCCTCTCGCCCAACGACAGCTAATTGGCTCCAGCCCCAAACAGGTAAAGCGGTATAGATAATGGATGGCTCATTGACCCAATGAGATCTTTTTTTGTTCATTACAACTTAGTTGAAGGATCATAAGAACCTGGAGACTACACGGTCTATTGTTATCCAGTCATCTGAAAGGCGCAGTCTAGACCTGTGAAGGCTGTTTCATCATGAGCCGGGGATCCGGCCGAAGAGTTCTGCCTTTTAATAAGACAGTTTTTTCTTACCATTGTAACTTTTGCTGCTTTGCTAAAGTGCTCATGATGGATAGGCCGGATCTTTGTAACATAACAATAAGTAAGGTCTTTTACCTGCTTTCTGTAACATAACAATAAGTAAGGTCTTTTACCTGCTTTCTGTAACATAACAATAAGTAAGGTCTTTTACCTGCTTTCTGTAACATAACAATGAGTAAAGTCTTTTTACCTGCTTTTTGTAAAGTGTCTCGAGATAACACTTGTTATGAGTTGACGCTATACAAATAAAAATTGATTGATTGATTTTATATTAAACATTGTCCCTTTACAAATAAAAGGACTATCTTAAATTATGGAATAAAAGCCTAATATTTATGGGCGGGGTCACTTACTTTCAAAAACATAAAATAAAAACTGTGTTAATTAATGTTCTCCAATGAGTAAAGTGTCCTCCTGCCCTAAAGGAGTCCTCGGACCACAGTTTGTGAACCCCACATCCCCCCCACCCCGTGCCTCAATTCAGACCTTGCGCTTGGTTCGAATTTGACGTCACTCCTGTTTTGCATAACCACCAGTCTCTCGCGTTTGATTGGTCCGTTCGCGGGATTATAATCTGCATGTTTTTTTTTTTATGGCCACCACGCTTCGCCCTTTCAATCTGCCTCTGGACGCCCCCCCTCCTCCCTCCTCCTCCTCCTCCTCCCTCCTCCTCTCCTCCTCCCTCCTCTCCCCGCCCGGGTACATCCTTCATGAAGCGAAGCAGCCTGCCTGCCTGCCACCGCCGCTGCTGCTCAAACGTGGAGAAAAAGGACACGGAGAGGGGACGCTCGCAGCTCCATTGTTAGTCGACTCTGGTTAAATTTACGGCTCTGTCGACATATTTAATGCGTTTTTAACCTCGGCGCTGGACCAGACAGAGAGGGGAGTGTTTGTGATTCTCCTCAGGACGAGACGCGGCGGATCAAAGGTAACATTTAAAATCACAACGTTCCAACGGTTTCCAACGGCTGGTCGCTAAGTAACGCTTTTTAACGGCTGGTCGCTAAGTAACGCTTTTTAACCCGCTTGTTTCTTTGTGTTATTTAAACTGAAAATCACCTCTTAAAATGGTGTTTCTCGCAGGAATTATGTCGGCGTGTCTTCTAAATGAACCAAACATTACTTGTTTTGAAGCCAAGACGCCCTCTTTGCAGTGTGAGTATGGATGTGTAACCGTAACGTAAACGCTAGCATGGCACGGTAACGGTAACGTTGCTGCTTTTCAACGTGTGTGGTTTTTTTTTTTTTTTAAAAGTCTCCGTGTGGTCGTTTTATTTGAGTGAATGGCGGTTCATGACTCACCTGACACGCTGTCTTTAAGTAGTACCAGGTCTACATTTATTGACTGGCTGCATGTGTTTCTCCCTCAGCGGGCTATTGTTCTGAGGCTAAACCGGGCCTTTTGCTAAAAACCTGAGGGGGAACTCGGTGTTTGTTTGTTTGTTTGTTTGTCAAAGAGACAAATGGTGTTATTAAAGCTCCACATGAAGAAATCACTCAGAAGCCTTCAAGACAGTTGCTTAAACGTGGACTCATAGGACCACCTAGGTAGGACTTTGTCAGGAGCCTGGAAACAGTTGGGTAATGTTTAGACAATTGGGTTTAAAATCACTAGATGCATCCTCCTTTCTTTGCAATGTATCTGTAAATGAATGTAGGTTGTAAACACCACTGGTATATTAATGTTGAAGTACCTCTGGTGTCTTGCCTACACACCCAGTGCATTTTCAGTTCTTTCTTCCGTATAAGAAGTAATCTGTTTTCCCATTTGCATCCGTGCCCATGTAGTGATCTCATTGTTGACTTGGCAGATTGACATCAGAAAAAAGGAGGAGTGCAGGCAGACCATCAGACAGCATCGTCCGCAGATCTCTGTGATAGAGGGATGCTGTTTTGGCTCGGAGTCCACATTACATAATCGGTGTGTTTTGGGATGTGTGGTGTGTGGGTGTGCCGGGGCAGGGCTTGGGGCGTGGGGAGCCGTGACACTCTTCGAGGAGGCATTTGACATGCAGACACTCACCGGGGAAGGGTGTCGCCCCCTTGAAGACCCTCCTGCCACACAGCTGCCAGTGGGGTGTGAGTTTATCGTCGCCTGGGTGTGAAACCGAGTGTGAATGACACACGCACATGGTCCTCTTCTCTCCCACATCCTGTTTTTCTGGCTACGCTCCAGGAGCTCATGGCTGGATCACAGATACTGTCTGATTCACATGTCAGATATGTGCTGCCATAATGCTTGTAATCCCCATGGGTTTGCAAATTCTGTCATTTTTAACCCAAAAGCTGCAGAGAGCTAAACAGAGTAACACTGTCTAAATAATACAGTCCCAACTATTCGGTAACCAATATGTTCACAATGTATTTGTGCGATGTAGACAGTGTGCAGGAGTATGTCTGCAATCTCCAGTAATTTAAAACAATAAATAACCAAATACTTCAATCATTCGCTGTGGAATGAAAACAAGTAATGTTTTTTTCCCTAATTTACTTAAATTCTAGTATTGCAAAGGTTTCATTGTTGCTGCCAGTAACACACAGTCCAGAAGGCTTTGATCATTTAACTAATGGAAGTTGGGAAATAAATAACAACTCTGACTACTTTAAAAAAAAAGAATACCTTTTCAGAATTAAAAAAAAAAACTGAACGTAGAAATGATCAAATTTGTATTTCCGGGCCCCAGGGAAGGGGGGTGACATAACTTTTTGTCTGGCGACCTCTGCGGTCTGCATGTCATACAGGAGCTTCATACTCTTTTCGGCAACACACAGTACTGATTTAAAGTTAAAAAAAAAAAATGTCATTATAGTGTCGATTTTTCAACCATCTTGTTTTTCGGCGCCGTGTCCTGCTTCCTTAGTCTCCTTCCTCCCCCTTCTGTCCCTCGGGGAAAACTTTATGCAACTCGCTATGATTTCAGGGGAACTGTCCGTAAAATGCATTTTCAGGAGTTCATGCAGGGAAACGGCTAAAATCATAACACAAAAGTATTGCTCAAGGACCCTTAACTGACACCAACGTTCAGTTACTCACCTGTTAGTTTTGCTTTCACTCTCTTGTTTGTCATTCCCAGGGATAGGCACTTCCTGTTCCAGCCTCTCAACTGGGACGCAGCCTGTGTTTATATACTGCTCAACCACTTCCACTGTCCACACCTCTGTTTCCCTTTCCTCTTCCTAAAAGCAAAAAGCACACTGTAAGAGGCGCTCGAAATAGTCATCTCTGTTCATTGAGGGTATTCTTCAGCCCTGAGAAGGCCTGAGGGATTGGACAGGTGGACGAAGAAAAGGAAACAGCCAGCACTATGCAAAGAGGCTTAAAAATACTCTGAACATTTTCCCTGCATCTCCTGGTTCTGGTTTCATGTTAAATGAGGACATTTGTGCTTGTTTACAAAGTTGTATTCCCCTTGGATTTGTTTTCAAGGAGTTCCAATGAGTTCAAGTTCAATGTACTCAAAGTCTCGGAGTGAACTTGAATTACCTTTAATTTAATAGTCGTGTCTAATGGGCTGTCTGCAGTTGTTCTTAATGTCAGGCTTGATGTTTTTGAGAGAAATGCAGAGGGTTTACTTTGCAACATTTGAAGTCGTGTGATGTTTGCCAAACAGTGGGAACCAAATCAAGCCATCTGCTGTGTCACTGAGTGAAAACCTGTTCTGTTCCTCACTGAAATACCTTCAATACCCGGAATACTTTTGGCTCAATCACTTGAGGACTGTGTCAGATTTCAGTAACCTCTACCAGCCCGCCAAGAGCTGTTTGTTTTTTTATCTAAGATGACAGGCATGTGAACACAAACTAGTTTTCTACTGCCTTTCGAGGCGGCTTCACCCTGTTAAATGGTGTGATAGTAGTAGATTTTTTTATATTTCGAGGCAGATGATTTGTGTTGCTGTTGAGCTTTGTGTGGTCGGTGAACAGCTGTGAGGTTATGTTGTTATTTGTGTTGGGGTCAAATATGTCCCCCTTCACGCTCCAACAGTTTGAGAACAGGATGTACTTCCCAATAACTCGCAGTGTTAATCTTCCATACACTAGAAGACTTAAAAAAAAAAAAAAAAAAACTTTAAAATGACTAACGTCTGACATACTCTCACATCTAAAGACTATGTGTCAGCAACTTGCAGAGATTTTGCAAAGACCGGGGATCTTGTAGGCTCACTGACTGCAAGACTACAACTTCCTTTTGAAGTTATTTCCCATCATGCATCTGGTGGAAATTTAAGATGCAACTATTTTTGAGCAGAAAGATGAGAAACTGATTGAGTTGTGGAGAGAGCAATAACACCTTTTTGATGCCCCCCACCCCCCCTTTGGACCAGGATAGAGTGGAGAATGAAAAAAGTTGTAAAGAAATTGCTGCGGCCATTGAAACCCATCAAATAATGATTGAATTCCTACTCTCTGTTAGAACCTGGGATGAGTATTGCTGTAGCTATAGCACACTCACCGAGCACGACTTCAAGGGCAGCAGACATTTATGTTCACCTTTTTCCTTCTCCAGTCTTGGCGTTGAACAAAGTGGAGGACACATCAAAGAGGTATACTTGTTCTCTCCCCTAACTCCACCAGTTTCTCCTTCATTTCCAGAGTCCAGGAGGAACCGCACGTTCCTTCACCTCCCCGCCATGTTTAGTAGTTTGCAGTTTGCGATAATATTTAACATGCTTGAATTTATCGTAACAACAAGACAAGAAGAAGACCGCCTTCAAACAGCTCAGTTTGAGTTTTATGACCAACTGGCACCAAATGACTGAGATCACAAGAGCGCCCCCCAACTCTAGAAAACCACTCAGAATCTCCTTTGAGACACCTTCCATCAACTGAACTGATGTAATAGTCCATTTAACCCACTAGTAATTCTGTGCCGACTAGTGAGACAACAACGTTAGATCATAAGGTCGACAAATCGTGCACAATCCTAATAAAAACATATCTTTGACATAGTATGCGAGCGTGCAATTGCTTTAAATTCTATATCAATTGATGTGGCAATCAGTCGTTGAATGTCGGTCCTCATATTTATGAACCTGTTATCTTTCACTGTGTGGCTTTTTTAGCTTTAACTCTTATCAAAATAGTTGCAGATCAATTTCCCATTGGCTGATCCTGGATTAATCCTTTCAGTTTTTGCTCATCTAGAGCCGTATTTTTATACCATAAGTAACACTGGCCATTTTGCGCCTGTCCCCTGTCCCCATGTCTCAGAAGTCACTAAAAAACCAGGGCAGCTGAGTGGAAAGTGAAACCCCTGTCCAGTGTGGAGAATTTGCATCTGCTTGGATGTCAGCTGCTTTTTTTTACAGCCTGCAACCAGTGTCTGTCTCAAGCCAACACCCCTGTGGAAATTTAATCCCAAATCCGGCCTGCTTTACAGCATCTGTTGAGGCTGACATTCAGGGTTAAACCATATTTCATCATCCAGTGCGTCTCCGTGTTGCTCTTTGGTTGTTCAGCTGTGGGACGAGGGACGGTGTGGTGCTGTAACGCTCGTCACTGTGGTTTGCATCCTGGCACTCTCCTGCCCATTAGGATTGAGTGGTGGACGCTGGCGCTGCATTTTTTAGGCTCTCAGTCTGTCTGGGACTGTGAAGCTGGGCTCAGTGCACTGTAATTATTGAAAAAGGAATTCAGCACTTTTGTAGTCTGTTTGTTAGTTCACTTTGAATCCCATCTCAAAGAAACATTTAGCTATATCGAGCATCTTAATGGTGGTACAAAATCTGGAAATGTAAAGTGCTGCTACATTTGCAGGTATTAAGAGAAAAAAGTATTATATAGAATGTCGATCTTGGTTGAGAATTTTGTTGGCAATCTACGACGATCATCCAGTAAGAAGAACCAGTCCTGTTTTGTTTCACTAGTCCAAATATTTATGCCCTCCCTCATTCAAGTTTCAGGTAATAGTGACAGCCCTGGTGTGTG